AGTGGTGCATGAAGGACGGCTGACAGACGCATTGCACGTGAGTATCAGAGACAGACAAGGCAGTTTACTCCCACTTTCTCTTTCTCCTGGTGGTTGTCTGGACTATGTAGATCTCTACATGTGAGGGGAGTCATGGAATAAAATGGGCAGGTCGTAATCTATTAGAAGAGTTGTACTACTCAGACGACCTAGCTCATCTATCCCATACACAAGAACAAATGGAGGTCAAGGCAAATAGTGTAACAGCAGATTCTGCATCAGTAGGCCTCAACATACACATGGGTTAAAGCAAGATTCTCAAATAAGACACGGAGAACACCCAACGAATGTGTTATTTTCACTAGAGATCCTGTTAAAACTAATAGTGGCTCCGAACGAAATAATAGTGGACATTTTCTTATGGATAGTGAAAAATGCCGAAACTTGGTAACGTTTATTATGTCCGATACTTTGCGGTGTATAAACTTTTTTACAAGCTTTATGTTTTAGCGATTTGATATGTGGTTGTAAAAAAGGTGATTTAATCTACCATTAATCACATGGGTTTATATTGGTATATTTCAATTAATTTTATTGGACAAGCTGCTCGACTCTCTATGAGGTATAAATTTAGTAGTGGCTTCGTACACGCGTACGTGAATTTCTTATTAGTATAGATAATAGTGTAGTGACCAACTTTTATCAAGAGAACGCGATTGGTTTAATGGAACAATTATTATTATAACCATTTGTACTAGTGATTGTTTTACTGTGCTCGTTTGTTTAACTGTGCAAATGACAGCCATATTACTACTCCATAATTCTCCATTACTTTTCCGCGGTTTTTGACCTCGGACGCAAGAACTCTCGCCGGCCGATTCCACTTGTACTCTTTTTGGCACGATTTTGGTATTCGTTCGATACCACGAGATCGCCAACAAAATAAACTTGGTTCCTCTCTATATTCGCCTTCTGGTTCATTTGGCACGCATTTCTTTGTAGTGGTTTTCATAGTCAACTGCGACTCGACTCCACGCTACAATAGTAATCAGACATGATGTTTCGAATTAACTATTTTAATCCTGCTTATAATTCTGTACTTATTCTCAAAATTAATTGTAATCTGACTGTTTATGTACGTTGTTAGCATGCTTTGTTTGTGTGTATGTCTGTTCATTGTTTATTTTATTCCACTATGTTTTCGGGACCGTATGAACTAATTCAAAGACTTACTTTCATCTGGCTAGCAATAGCCGGAATCCACGATAAATACGGTAATTTCCTCTCACTGTTTGTTTACCGATATGCACTCCTGAAATATGTGTATCCTCAACTCAACTTCTCTACTCAACATCTAAATTTCTCTTTGATTATGCTGATAGAGTGAGGGAGGACGTATGTCAAACTTGCAACCACATATTTCGTTGAAGTCGAATAAGTAGCATAAATCAGCAAGCCCAACTCAAAAAATCGTAATAATCTTCTTGAAACTTTGGTGTTTACCGCTTACTACTAAAATACTTTATGAAAGCATTGAAGATGATCCGATCACAATACGGAGTAAACCGAAGAAGTTATCGATTGTTGATTAATGTTTTTGGTAAAGTTGGATTGGTCTTTATTGCCTAAAACTGTGTGAAATTCCAGAATAATATGCTCTCCAAAGTGGTAGAAATCGATGGTTTGAGACCCTAGATATATACGGAATTCATCAATGACAAACGGATTTCTTTTACCATTATTCACTAAATCTTGAATGTGTAACTCAGTATACTTAAATTTGCTTCTTGCTTTATCATCATTCCGTTATTTTTTCATTCCTTTTGAATTATTTTTAGAAATCTAGTACTTTTATGAATTAGCGTATCTATTTATTGATAGTTTTCAGTAAAATTCACAATTATTTTCAACACAATATTTGTTTGTTCCCAGTCAGTAGCAATATCGTTTTTTATCCCTCATTGGTTATTGAGATTGTAACTTCAGGTCTCTTGTTGCTGATTAGTGAAATCTAAATGAGATCAATTTCATTTCTTATTCAAATTCATTGCACATTATGTTGCTGAACGTTTCATTCATTAAAAACGATTCGAGGTTATATTTAGTGCACGTTCAGCAATTAAGAATAATTTCTAAGTCATATTTTAAGTAATAATAATAACAATAATAATATTATCACTCCTTGATTTTGTATAGACTTGTCTGCAGACTGATATGCATTTCTAGTATACAAGGGCTAGTAATACCAATTCTGCCTAAAACTAGGTGTATGGAGTTCGTGTTCACGATTCACTGTTTGAGTGCTCAACCATGCATTTCGTTCAGTGTAAATATGTGTTATAGCTTTTGGCCTATGTGCCCTGTTAATGTATAAGGTAACGATACCGCCAATTAGAGGGCAGTGAATTATCGATCGACCAATGACACGTTAAACCCGTACGAGCAGCCTAGAGTCCTGATTGGTCCTGCTTCCCGCCTAGACCAGCCAGTTAAGTCCAGAACGTCAATCTGAGCCTCTGCGATATGCATCATTATATTTCAAACACACTGAGTTTATATACTAATCAAACAAACCACAACGGACCATAAAATAGAAAACAACATTTGTACAAGATTTGGCCAAAAGTGGCTGTGAATGTGGGAGGCAGTGATTAATAGAAGGGGCATAATTCAAGAATGGTAAAACGTATAATAATAGTTCATAGGTTAAAATAAAGCTTATTATAAGAGGAATATGAATATGAATAGTTTAGCTGTTTAACAATTATACGTTAAAAATATACGTTTAGTATTAGTCCATAAATAGATCCCAAAAGTTACTATTCATTCTGCTTATCGTGACATAACAATAAGAAAAGTGATTTCTTAAGATGGTGTCTATTATTAACTTTCCATTCTGTTTTTTCTGTATTAATCTCAACTGCATTTATATATATCAAAGATTAATTCGGCGTTTTACTGGGGGTGTTTCGAATTCTGATTTGTCTCAGTTGCAGTCTTCTAGCATATCTATATCTATCCTTAAATTCTTCTTAAGTCACTATAGTAATTCGAGTTATTGTAATGATAGCGAAAAAAATAATTTTACGACATCCATTTTGATAACTTTGTATATTGTAGTGAGAGGGTAAATGTTATTAGAACCATGTGATACATAAATAGGATTAATCTAATCATATAAATTAACATGTTAAGAAATTTATGTGCTGGTGTACTAATATTGTGTTTAATTGCTCTTATGGCAAACTAATTTGGTTCAAACTCCAATCTGATAACTCATAAAGATACTCGTGATATATGACCACAATGTATCATTAGGTAATTGCCAAAAAAGCACTTAACAAGTATATGAACTTTAGTAACCACCATGTGAGACCCTTTGCAAACTTTCCACGTAGCCATTTGGATAGTTTCGCTCTCAACGACTTATGCTTTCCAGTAGCGTTATTGCTTACTTATAATTACACTGTTTTTGTTCCAATTTATGTGTGATGGAAGACATGATGGAAACCAGTCTGTAAATCAGTGAAGTCTGGTTTACCGCTCACTGTTTTGTGAAATAAATGGTTAATTCATAGTTAAGAACGACTGAGTTCATTGCTACATCGTTCTGATTGTTGTTCACATTATCTTCTGATAACCTTTATTTATGAATTCAATAAAGCTTCATGATTGCAGGAAATTTTCTTCATCGGTATGATTCGGTATTACCAATATGTTTAAGTGATAAATGTGACACAAGCGTAATAAAGCTATAAATACTTTCCGAGTAATAATACAGCAATGACATAACTTCTTTTGATTTTTTGCTATCTTATAGCATCTATATGAATAGCATGAGTATTATTTCAATGACCCCATGTCTGTATGTTTGAATATATTAAATTCAAAACTCCGTTTTGCCTTTTTCTACTTTCGTACCAGTCAACTAGCTACATATCTTGATCCGTAATTTTTATCGATTGGATTTTAAATTAAGTACTATCAAGTATATAAATGAATACGTTTTCCTCCTGTGAAAATTTGTCAATTTATCATTGAAAGGTTCGAAAGCGTAGACTTATTATACTCTTCTTAACGCCCACTAGAACAATGTGTCTATAAAATTAATTACGCTTGGGTAATCTTGCTCATAATAGGTATGGTGATGAATAGACAAGTATCTAGTATTATGGACTTCTAAACTGATCACCATATTATTCTAAGCAGAGATAATGGTGGCTAGCAGTTTGAAGCGAACGGTTCTGGGTTCGAGCTCTTGAGTGAATGTCAGCTGACCAGTCCCAAGTAGGACGAAATGCATGTCCTGGGTTCCACTGCTAACCACTCTCACCTCCACCCATAATGCTTGTGATTGAAGGCAATATCAAAGCAATCCGCACAGGATGCACATTTGTCAATAAGAGACTGATCAATTGTATAATGAATTCTGACTTCTGTACATCAATCATACTTGCCTGTATTTATTCATTGTTTTAATTAGTCAACTTTACGTAAATAATCTGAATAGACAGAGAACGTCCTGGCTTTAAAATTTATGCGGTAAAGATACTCATGAGGAATTCGTAAAAAAGTACTTGGATGCTACTGTATTCGATTTCTTCAATTCACTAACCGAATCGCGCTTACTTATTTCTTCTCCTATTCTATATTTTGGAGTCTGAAATATCTTGTCTTGTCTGCAAATTGTATGTCATTTATGCATTCTTAGGTGCGTTTTTATGTATGCTTCGCAGTGTAGTTGCGTGAACTAATTCATGTGCATGTAAACCAGAGATTTACTGAAATGTAAAATCGAACTCATCTTGATCATTTTTGAGTGAATCCAATTTACATTTAATAATGTTTCTCACTTTCCGTTTTCTATATTTTTGTTTATGTTTTACAAAATCTATTTTGAACGCTTGTGTGAACCTTTCGATAATTTTAAGAATATGTATTTTCAAGTAGTGTAGATTGTAAGTTAGTGAATTCTACTAAATGGGAAGCTGAAAATTTGAATTAAGAACATGTGATGATTAGGCTAACTAAAGTTTATTTGATTTAAATATTAGGCATAAAACAATATAAGTTGGTTACTCATTTTGAGGAAAAGAAATTGGAGTATATTGACTCTTATGCTGAAATAAAGTTTTGTTATCGACAAATAGGCATTTCACATGAATAGTGAGTCGAATCATAAAATAAAACCAAAGATGAGAATTGTGTATTTTAAAGATTTGTTTAAGAAAGTGCAAAAAAACCACTCAAATGTTGTAGCATCCCAAAATATGTTTAGGGTTTCGAATATGTAATTCATAATGGTTTTACCATGCATCGCATTTTGTAACAGGATTCATTGGTGAACCAACTGGACAACCATATGCACGTGCGAATCTTCTACTATTGACCAACGCCCCGATCACTCTTTCAAGGTAGAGAAAACAAAATTATTTCGTTAGTTTGTAGAGCTGTAAACTAAATACACAGATACTGTAAAGTTTGCTAACTGAAACTACTGTTTACTGATAAAGATTGTGAAAGGTTAATCAGATTCAAGGTAAAGTAGGCGACTTTCAGTGCAGTTCTAGACCATCGGAATTCATTAATTTTTGAGTTTTTATAGCCGTTTGTATTATCTGACAAAAAACAGTTATATGGCTTTCAAGCATGATAGTGTTCATTCTTCATACGGAATATAATGCTGAATACTTGTAATTCTTCGTTATATACTGCAACATCTGCTATGAAAACTTCAGTTTGTGTCAACAAATATTTCAAGTCATAAATTTTAGTATAACATATGTAATTTAGATCGTTATAAATTCTTACCTAAACTTTTCCAAGACATGAGGCATAGCTACTGCATTTTGTGCAAGTATTACCTCACCATGATGTCCGCACATAGCCTTGAAATGGGATAATGAAATCAGTTGAAAAGTACATTACTAGTTATTTGGTGATAAAACAAGACATGATTATATTTAGGCTGACATTGCACTTATTATACATTACTTAAAGTATACATCACTCCGCCTTGAGCCCATCTTGGGCTACTGCCGATCCCAAGCCCGGAAAAAAGAAGAGAGTTGGGCATGAGGTTAGCTGCACAATCACGTAAAAATCTAACTCGCTAAAAAAACGCTAACCAGAAAAAATAATTCAAACCATTTAAACTCTGCCCTGGAAGTACGAAGGTCTTCATTTAGAAGAGTTATGACGCCTCATGGTGAAAAACGAGTTCCTTCGGAACTTACGAATTTGATGGCCCTTCTAACAGTGAGAGCAACCATTAACGTAGGTCCATGGAATTTTGTGGTGTTTGAATGATTTAATGATTCTTTTGTACTTGTTGAATGCTCGATTTAGAATTCTAAATACAATACATTCGTTTGTGCTCATCTAGTGCTTCTTGATTCAATTGTGTTATATCGAGGATCCTTAGTTCATAATATAATTGAAATCAACAAATTGGCGTCGCGATGGAGCCTGTGATTGAATTATTGGGTATACATTCAGATTTTGGTGCTTTTGATGATTATTTTGAAAGGTTCGAAATCTGGGCTATGACCAAGGAAGATGATGAGGATGTTAATATTGTGGCATATTTCTTCACATTCATCGGAAAAGAAGTATACAGCTTATTAAGAACTCTGGCTATGCCGGAAAAGCCTATCTCTCTTACTTATACAACTCTCAAGGAACTGGTGCTAGACTATGTTAAGTATACAAATTTCAAACGCAGTAAAGGAATATTTTGTAAAGTGATTCATGAGGATATAAGAAATTCCACTGCATTACTACGTCATCCCAACACAGTACATACTCAAGGCTATGTAGATAATTCATTGAGGAGTTTGGATGCATTTCATGAAGATTGACATAAGTTTGATCAGTGTTTTTGCTGTGGCAAGTTACACTCTTTTAATTCATGTATAGGATAGGAATCTCACGGATCAAGGATCATCAAAACCTCCTTCAAAACAAAGAGAGAGGGCATTTCAATGAAAGTCATCCAATGCTACGTGCCTACCAACGACTACAATGAAAATGTTAAAGATCAGCTCTACAATAGGCTGCAGTCAATCGTGGAGAAATGCCCAAAACAAAGGACCTGGCCATTCTGATGGGAGACCGAAATACTATGGTTCGAATGGACAACACTGTACATGAAGACATCATCGGACGACATGAACTGGGAGAAAGGAACGAAAATGGTGAGGGATTCGCAAACCTATGTGTTTTCAATAAACTGGTCATAGGTGGCACCAAATTCCCACATAAACTCATACACAAAGCCACATGACTTTCACTGGATCACACTACACAGAACCAAATTGATTATACCTGCATCCACAAAAACTTCAGGAGAACGAATGAGGATTTGAAAACCAGGATAGGAGCTGATATAGCCCCGGATCATCACTTGCTGGTCAACAAGACGAAACCGAAACTCCAGAAGCACTGGACAACGGGCGGACAACATCAGTGATTTTTGTACGGCCTTTCTTCGGGATACGGACAAATCGAATTAATTCAAGGTAGACCTCAGCAATGGGTTCTAGGTTTTCATGATCAACTCAAACAACACCATAGTCAGAATTTTCAATACACATATCAAGACAGTTCTGCTGTATGGAGCGGGAACTTCGAGAACTATGAAAGCTATCATCCAGAAGATACAAGTGTTTATTAATAGTTGTCTGAGCAAAATAATTCATACACTTAGTTCCCTTTATTATTTTAAAGAGAGCAAGAACAAATGCTGGTGCAGAATAATACGAATTCATTTTATTTCGTTAGGTTCTCATCAGTTGCTTACACCCTAAAATACTTGAAATTTAACGTTATTATAGGTATTGACATACTTATACATCAGAGGGAGATGAAGGATATATATATATGTATAACATGATGTAGCAAAGATTTCGTTAGAATTAATCAGGTCATAAAATTTTGTTTCGAATATATAGAGTTTGGGAGGGAAGGTTCCAGAACATTGAAATAGTGATTAGAAATCATGGAATTAAAACACATTAGATTATTATGCAATGAAGTAACTGAAAATAGATTAATGTTAATAAAGAGAGATATGAATTGAAATTGGTCACTTATGAATTATGTAATTATAAAATTCAGAAAGAGTTGGAATGACGTAATAAATAAAAGGGGGAGGGGTAATGTTACCAACTCAAATTCAAAGGCGATAATGTCACATGATCAATCAATATGAGACTAAAAACTGCATTGAGAAATAAAAGGGTGGGGGTAACGTTACCAGGGCAAAGAAAGATTTATTACTGTTCCGTTTTGTATACAAAGATCTAACGAACTCTTTGCTACATCATGTTATACATATATATATATCCTTCATCTCCCTCTGATGTATAAGTATGTCAATACCTATAATAACGTTAAATTTCAAGTATTTTAGGGTGTAAGCAACTGATTAGAACCTAACGAAATAAAAGGAATTCATATTATTCTGCACCAGCCTTTGTTCTTGCTCTCTTTAAAATAATTCAGATCTGTTGGTCAGACACTATCAGTAACAATCTACAGTGGGAGAGAACAAACCAGATTCCAGCGGAGGAAGAAATCAGGAAGAAGCGCTGGAAATAGATAGGGTGCACATTAAGGAAATCAACTCAGTACGTCACGAGGCAAGCCCTTACATGTAATCCCAAAGGCCAAAGGAGAAGAGGAAGACCAAGGAACACATCAGGCTGAGAAATGGAGACAGACATGAAAAGACTAAACAACAATTGGATAGAATTAGAAACGAAGGTGCAGGACCGAGTGGATAGGAGAATGATGGTCGGCAGCCTATAAGTTTGTTTGAACTGGTAGTTTTCATTTTGATGATTTATGTTATTGTCTTAGTTTTAAACTTCACTCCTTTTTCAGCTCCTTCAGATAATGTGAAAATATTATTGAGCAGACAGTAAATTCGAATAATAATTTTCGGTTAAATTTCAGAAATAATGACATGGGTGGTATGATGATTTTTATGAAAGTGTTGATGTATACAACATTCACATCCAAGTTCAAGGGGAACAAAGAACGTAGGATGAGTGTTTTAGATAAAGATGATAAATACCATTGAATATAACATTGAGAAATGCACCATAGGTATTCTTATGAATAACAGCAATTCGAATCTTCGACTTACTTGTGCAGACGAGAGGAAGAACAGTCGATCAGATTCAAGTGAATCGTGGTTATCTTGGCTAACATTGTTCGAGAACTTCTTCAACAAACGCTTGTATGTCTGAATAAAGAATGTTTTGTAGCGTTAAATTTACTGTGATTTAGTTAGTGTTTTTGAAATCAACGGTCATAATACGTAGTAGTAAAACACCATTTATAGTGAATAGGTGGTGTGTTTGTGAAACGCTTTTAGCAACGTGTTATCATAACATAGTTTCTATCATGAACGATCAAAATAAACCTATGCACATTGTGCTGTATTTCATAGTTTTCATGAATCACGAACGAGAAATCGAGTAACAGAGTTATGTACCTAATTTAACCACCGAAAGAATCATTAACCAAGCTATTGAGTTTTCTGCTCATTGAATTGATTTCACAGAGATATTCCAAGTATTTTTGTGTGTTTTGTCCCCTCAATTTTATACTGCAAATCAAAGTTGACGCTAATAAAATTTTGTACAAATACAGTTTCGATTATTGGACAGAACACTACGAACTGGTCGATTTTTGTTTTCATATCAGCAATTGTGAGATAACTGTTTGAGCTGAGTAATAGCAAAAGAATATTTGAAAGCGGACAAAGGAGCATATAACTCAGAATGTAGTGAACGTGGGACAAGCATATCAATGTTTTCTTAAATAGTCTATTAGGCTTTTAGTTACCCAATTATCAATCATATGGTAGGGTATAGAAAGCTAGAACAACGAACGTGATATCGGACCACTTTGTGAACCCCTATGTTTACCTGACAAAAATTAACATTTATCCAGAGAAGTAACTGTAAGATCATTTGGTATTTATTAAATCTGATTGCTTTCTTTGTTATGGTGAGTCAACAAAATTTTCTGTGTTGGTCTCATAAATGACACACGATTAATAGTATTCTTTATTTATCTATACCATATTTAGATTTTTGTTCATTGAAAGGAAATCATCGAACTACTCAAGATACACAATAGTATTCTAAGGACTGATATCTAGTTTCAGTGGTCATAAACAAAATTATATTAATTATCTGAATGTACTTACGTGGTACGACGCTTTTAATCCATCATTGTCAGCCAACATTTCTTCTTGAGTATCAGTGCGAAAAGCCTAAATCAGTTGAACAATAAAGAGGCATGTGTTGTGTAAGATTGTGAACCTGAAATCAGAAATTCTCACATTCCTTTTTTTACACTGAAATGTTATGCTGAATTGTCTTCGAAAGTCACTATTGATTAAAAGGAATTTCACTTCCGAACAAATACATGCTAATAACTAGTCTGAATTGATTTTCTACTCTTGTTTTTTTCAATTTCTGTAGTATTTCGAAAAACAGTTTATTCAAAATAAATCACATAACAATTTACGAAATTATGAGTAAGTTTCGTCAAATATAGCGAAACAAAATTCTTAAAAAACAGGACTTCAGTGTGCCTGCTAAGGGTAGGGGATACTCGTAAGTTACTAGTATTTGACCATAGATGTCTTATAAATATTGCCAGCATCTGCTGGGATCAGCTGGTAAGTAATAGTGAGGTTGGACTAGGAGTACTAGGGAATGACGGTAAATCAGTTGATGAAGTTGCGAATCTTCATCGACTGAGATGGTTGGACCACGTATTACACATGGAGACGGATAAACAATGTGAGTATGAGTCCTACCCTCGTTGCGTATCGGTTTCTTAAAGTCGTCTATGGGTTTTGATTGCTGCTAGAACATAACATTCATAGCATCGACTGATTCTTTGATGATAAACTTGACTAGTAGAACACATTAAAATGGTTTTGTTTTAACACACCTTTAGCTCCACCTGTAGCTCTTCTAGAGTCACTGCCAGTCCCCAGCCCGGGTAAAGGAGAAGGGTTGGGCATGGGTTAGCGACCCCATCCTGTAGACAAATAACTTGCCAGAAAGACGCTAACCAGAAAAAAATAATTCAAACCATTTAAACTTTGCCCCAGGAGTTATAAGAGCTTTATTTAGAAGAGTTATGACGCCTCATGGTGAAAGACGAGGTGCTATGGAAGTCATGAGGCTGATGCCTCATTCTTGCAACCAGAGCAACATTTTCTATAGGCAAATGGAACGTCCGGGCAATATAGGAGACTGGGAAGACCAGTCAAATAGCAATGGAAATGAGGAGATACAAATTGGCAGTACTTGGAATCAGCGAATCCCATTTGATCCAAGCTGGACAGCAAAGGTTAAATGCGGGCGAGATGCTGCTATACTCCGCTCATGAGGAGGAAAATTCTCCACACAATCAGGAAGCTGCTCTAATGTTGTTGAAAGAAGCACGAAATGCACTTGTATGATGAGAATCTCACGGATCTAGAATCATCGAAGTATTATTCGAAACAAAGAAGCATGAAATAGCAATGATTGTTTTCCAGTGTTATGCACCTACCAATGACAGCAATGACGACATTAAAGACTAGTTCTACGATAGGCTGCAATCAATCATAGCGAAGTGCCTAAGAAAACACATCACCATTCTGATGGAAGATCTAAACTCGAAAAGAGAGTAATAACTGGTGTCACATTTAATGGTAAGTTCATTTTCCAATATTCTCAAACGTTTTAAGTTAAATACAGTTTAAATGAAGAAAGTAGCATCACTTGATGATTATGGAAAATTTTTGTACTAAATAACCTATGACTATACAGAATTTCAGTAAATATTTATATGTTCGTATTTATAATTTAGCTAAACTTACTTTTAAAGCAGTGTAACTATAGAAAGCATACTGACGACTCAGACATAAAGCATTCAAATGTTTCAAACCGGATGACAGTAAAGCATTGAACGAAGTCCGTTTATTCTGATTCTCATCATACAGTACACCTGGAGATACAACGAAACTAATAGGTTATGGTTATTGAAATTGTTATTAATTTTAACACAATTGCTAGTGTGCATGTAGAGTAGAAGAAAGGGAAAGCAGAAATCAGCGTATATTTGTTTGGTAATCACCAGTTTTCACATCAATCGAAATGAAAGACTAAAACAATGAGTTTGTCAGAAACTAATAAAGCAGACATTATAAAAAGTGGATGGTGTCTAGCAGTGGAATCCAGAATACTCATTTCGTTCTATTTGGGACTTGTCAATTAGATGAACCTACATCCTAGCTCTACTTATAATGCTTACGACCTAAGACAATATCAAGCCGATCTCACAAAATGCACGTATGCCAATAAGAAACTAATACATTGCAGTCCTAAACATCAATAAGAGGATTCAAACAATCAGTATTAAAATGAAATTAATATCAGGACAACAGCAGTCTAATGTTGTATTCGAAAACGAGTCTGATATTCAGTGTATGGTAACAGAGTAATACTCAGTATCAATTAGTCGGTGATTTATAGAATAAAATGATTTTGTGAAGTTCGAAAGATTAAAAGCATAGAAACTCATAAAAACCAAATTATGAATCAAATAATTCACCGATTTCTAATGAAAGTTTCCACTAACTAAATATACCTTCAATTGATAGTGAGTGTACTCTCGTGAGACGTGGATCGATGACACAAATGAGCCTTTCAATCGTTGTTACAAGTAATCGATATGAGTGTGAACTAAGCTGACATGGATGTGGTCAAGTATTTAATAGTCAAGCTGAAAAGATTTAATATTTCGTTCGAAGTACAACTAGACTAAACTAGACTAGTTGAAGCCAATCTACAAATCGCTGCATGGTATCACTAGCAAAATGTTTTATGCATTACTGAACTAAACTGAAAGTTCAGCCTGTTATTGTATTTGAATATTTAAATATTGTGAAGATTGATTAATGGATTCTTTCTATTCATATTATAGTGAATTGTCGTGAGATCGCCCTCCTTTCTGTGATGTGCTGATTTCGAGAATGTATCGATACAGGACACAGGTGGTATTTTGTGATTCCGTAATCGTCTTGCGCTTAATACTAACATGTGGAGATTGTACACGATGACAAAATATTATTCAGATATTACGTGATGTTTGTCCATAAGGTTAGTTTTAACAAATGAACAACAAACTGTGATCGTCAAACTCAGGATGTTGACATTTTGTTGATATGCAAAATAAATGATTCTGATCAATACATGTTAATAATTAGTCAAATAGTAAATTTCTCTATGAATTCATAAGACAATTAAATGATATTGTGGTTTTATTAACAGTATTATACCGAAAGTAATAGTTTTATACAAGTTAATTAATATTACTTTTAAGAAACTGAAAATTCAGTATACTGATTGAACAAACCTTGGATACCTATTCCGTGCATAATCTCATGACTTATAATCCAACCAAGTGCTCCAAATTTCGAAGCTAAACTACCATTTTCATAATAAAGTGGAGGTTGTAGAAGTCCTGGGTATACATATATACGATTTTCATCCGTTGCATAATAAGCTGATACGAGACGTGACAGTGATCCTGTGAGAGATCTGTTCACAAAAAGATAAACGTTTGGTTATTTCACATGTCGTACCATTTCATTAAAATTTCCCGCTTTTTACATTTCACCAGGTAATCATTTCAAGATTACTACGGTACGAAATGTCTGGTATTTCAGTTTTATCACAAACTAGCATGGATTATATTACATGATACTTAATGAACCGGTGAATGAAGCGGTTTTATTCATACAAAAATTGGGTAGAAACTGGTATGTCAGTTTACAATATGAGATTATGGAATCTGAATAAAAGAAATTTTTTACAACCGCTTTATTAATATGGATTCAAATTAAATATCCGTGATTTCCTAAATAGCCAGTAAGTAACTAATCAGTTCAACTTCTGTACTTATAGAACTAGGAGGTTTGCTGTTTGAAAGATTTAGATCATTAGTGATTATTTTACATAGATTGTAGTCTGTTATTTGGGTTTACATTAATAAATAGTGTCAAATCTCCTAAAGACAAAAATATAAAGATGCTATGTGATATGATAGTAGTTGTAATAATAATAGTAATAATCGACAATTAGCATTTGTCGTTTGGGTTATAAAATGAATGGAATCTTCTTACTTCATTACCACCTTGAATAATGTAATGAAGGCACAGAAAGTTTTCTTAGGGAAACTGATTTGTACATCCTTCTGTTTTCTAAGATTTTAATTAGCATATTCGTTACAAGATTTAGAGGGAAGATGTCCAAACACGAACCAAACACACACTAAATCAGTCCAAGAAATCAATTTGATTTCATGGTAATGTGGGTTCTATTCAGTAGAAGGCATCAATCCATAAGATAATTTTGATTAAAGAATATTCAAATCTTTGCAGTTAAATAATAAAATTAACAATTTGTGATAACTTGTATTGTTTTTATATCAGAAATATCATGACAACTTACGGGTTATATTTGTGTAATTGAGTTTTCAAAGTGTCAATATATTTCGCTCTACGGATGTAGAATTCATTTGTGTAATAATTGTCCTCTCGAATAGGGTACTAAATATTATTTGTGTAAAAAAACATTGACAGAGATCATTTAAAAGGTGTTTAAAGCACGTTCTATACATTCTGTTTTCCAGTTTATTGAGTAAGTATTTTTGAATCAATGGTTTTGGGAAAATGCAGTGTCATTGAAGCAACATTTCGGATTTTCATTGTCAAACCAATCATTGTCACGTAAATTGACTTTCCTCAATTTGTAACGCCGAGTTACCGAAATGATTTGACTGATGCATAAAATTGTGCGAATAGTCCTCGTGTGATTATATATTTCATCACTTAATGATATACACACAACCTTGTAGTGTGACGAGTTTGTAAATGATTTTGTACATGAATCCAAGTAGTTGAATTATGGTGAGATTGATGTGTAGTTTTTGATGACCAGTAGATTGGTCTATAAATTGACTGATATATTTGAACCTGTTAGGGTTTAACCTCTGAGTTGCCGAACTGCAGAATAAAGACCAGTGAGTTGAGGTTTCTCTGCCACGTAATGATTGAGGCAAACCAATGTTGTTTGGAAATGTGAAATATGCTTTTCTTACACTAAGTGTTATCAATGATGAGTTCTAGGAATAACGGTGTCTTGTAAGTTTCACATATCTCCTCCGTGAAAACCGGAGTTATTTTGTGTAGAATTAGCTTATTATTATATACAATGATGTATAATATAACCAGTTTTCGACAAAATAATCATTAGTTGTATCAAACGGACATGTAAAATAATTTATTTTTCGATAGTGAAATAAGTGTAGTTAACTTACTTGGAATACTGTTGAGAGATTTTCATTTTGTTGAGAAGCATTTTGATTGGAGTACAAGGCAAATATACCCATTTTTGAAACCTACAATTTTTCATAACAATCAGTTATCTTACTAAAACTTAAACAAACCTTGTATTTCATGAATTTTTTCTCTTCTTCATTCAACGACTTGATTTTTGGTATTGAGTTAGTGATAGTGAGTTTAATTTCATTAAACATATTGATCACCTGTAATAGAGTGAAAATTAATCGAATTGAGAAAGTGCATGTCATGTTTGAAAATTATTGTTCCACAAAATAATAAGCTTGTCACATATGCATTAACGCTTTTCACCAATTCTAGGAGCAGCCTTTTAAATAATCTTGGCAGCTTTTTGTTTGGAAGGAGCTACTTTAGGCTTTTTTTCTTTTCGGCATTTTTCACCTTCTCCATTTCTTTTTGCTTTTGTTTGTTTTTCTTTAGCTGCACGTAAAAGTGGTTGCCTTCTGATTCCAAACATCGTTGAGGTTTATTTAATAACGGTTACGAAGGTGATTGATGAGCTGGCTATGCCACTACAGTATGATGGATTTTGGTTTCTCAAACCGACCATTGATTTCTGTTCATCAATAATGTTTTTGATATTTAAAATGTGTACCAATATATAGTCTAACATAGTAGCTTAATAAGATCATTTGGATGGATATTAGAATCTGTATTTTAAACGGATTTGGTGAGGAACATGGTATACAGCTAATAAAAACATTTTGAGTGGTTAGTTGCCTACTCCTACTAAATTGTACTGTGTTACACTTAATCTTGGCAATGTAATGTAATGTTTACAATAATGAAGTCTCGTCCCATATTGTTCGAATGATTATTGCACAGTGTAACTCCTAGATCTCAAAAAAGACCACACTAGTGATGACAATCCGTAGGGATTCCGATGATTATTTGAAAAACAATCAGCAGATTTTCATCGAAACTATGGTCTTTTCGAGAAAAGTGGTTTGATTTGACTGTCTGACCGAAACTAGGTCGACATTGGAACCATGTTGACCATTTGATGTAATTCATGTAGGAACGTATATCCGAAATCGAAAGAATAATTTCACAACTGTTGAGGGACAGGTTTGTAGGTGATGTCGAAAGTATGAAAGTGTTTTGGAAATTCTCATGAATTAACATCAAAGTAACCCTAATTTTCGCATCATAATGTTTGTCAGTATGAAAAGTAACCAAAGTCAATGTTATTTAACACAAATACAGTTAGGAAATATTTTGTACTGAACGCTTATTATGTTAAGATGTTGAATATCATTTTTTGTGAGGTGTGCTCTAAATTGTGTTATTCGGAGATATTTGTTTATGTTTATGTAATTTAAGTCAAAAAGTGTAGTATTCTCTTGATTTAAATAATTTTAACCTTCGAATATGAATGGTCGACTGTTGGGTATATAGGGATTTCTGTCAATATTCCAGTAAATTTATGTAAATTTCGATTATTCTCTCAAAGAATCTCAAAACATAATTCTTAACAAAAGTTACCAACATTTCAAATTTTACTACAATGATGTCTACAAATATTTCTTTTAATATAATTGATGTTTAGAATGAAAAACAAGATTTTTTCAATAATTAAGTGGGTTTCTATCTCTGGAGACACTGATTACTTATACCAAGATGAGTAATCATGGTGTTTCATCATTTGGATAAGTAAAATGATTGGATGTTCATACATTAGCGTTCACATATTAATAGCAGTAGAACGAACTTGGATGACGTCATCCATAGTGTTGAAATGGTAATCACCATATTGTGTTCCATTTATCCATTTGTGGACAGTTAAACTCTGTCATGAATTACAAGCCCATCCAACATAATAAGTTAAAACATATTTTTGAACGTATCTTGTATCCGACTTCATTTACCATCACTCTAATATAACGGTGTTTGTTCACTGTAGTGTTTCTACTAGCCTATCATGAAATAAAACACTGTGTGTACAACTGTCCATTGTTAAGAAATGAACGCTTTTTTGTTATAGTAAGTAAACTATACCACAAACCATCATCAATAACTGCATTCTGGTTTACAGACTAGAAAACAAACTATATGTACGCCCGGTTTTCATGATCACTTGTATCATGATGGATAATGATTTCTAGAATAAACCGGAAATTCGGAATTAAAACACAAAGCCGACTGTAACAATGTGATAAATGCTATGATTTTGTACATTTGTCAGTTAGATGCGCATTACAAACATACAATCTATAATGATCTAACAAGAATTGAGCAACAAATTGTCTATCACTCAGGTTAAATTACTCTGAAATAGAATTCTGTTCAATATATCTCGTCTATACTTAATTGGAATAAAGTGTTTTGATTTGTATTGTCAGTCGTTCAATAAAAGCTGATAGAATTGGTGGTTGGATTGAGTTTACCAGAACTGCTTCAATGGGATCTATGAACTTCACAGACTGTATCCAGAAAGATGATATTATGATCACCAGTTATGTATGTTACTCAAATTTTGTAAAAGAGTAATCTATGATATTTCCATTTTACTCAGGTGTGTAATCCACTTAAAATGGATAGGTTTCGTTCGAATCCGATAATCAAGTTGTAGATCCTTGTATATATAAGGAATTCTTCAATCAGTGAATTAGTTGTTACTAGGAATCTATTTGGATTGTCTTATTTCATCATGTAACGATTTCATATTATCGCTAAACGTGTCTACCGTTCAAACATTGTAGATAAGTGAAATATGACATGAACCAACCTCTGTTATGTGTGTTTTGTTTACATGCGAACGGATATAATGTCTTTCAAACGTCCATGGAAACGCATCCTTCAACCGATTTATACATTGCTCATCAAAATGTGGCTGTGAAGCTATTTAAAATAAAGTGAAATAATGTTTTAATATGAGAGGATCAAATGAATTTATAAAAGGACGGACCGGAATCAGTGAGTGTGTCAACAAATATAAAGCTCATCCTCATGAAATCAGTGTTTACAGATCTAGTGTTCATGACTACTTGTATACTCAATCATCGTCTACTTGCTTCAACACTAATTGCAGAAAGAATATATTCAAAATAATGTTAAATCAATTAGCTGTTTACGTCCACTACATTGCTTTGAATATCAGGACGTGCTTCAAAGTATACTTTAGATAATTACTATTTCAAGTCATTTCACTTCTAACAATATGACTGAAAATGACAGTGATGAATAAATGTACATTGTTTCAGGGATGATGTATTACGTTGATGGGATTTGCAGAGTATACTGGATTTGTTCATCTATGAATATGTCTACTGTTGAATTATGCAGGAAGAATACAATAGGAAGTTTTGTTTTGACTAGTAACTATTGCCTTGTTTATTTATGTGGTTTCTATTGATGAATAACATTTTTATACTGGTTATTAGTATATTTATTGATGTTAGTAGTCAGTGATTATCAAGTGTTTAACGTTAACTTCATTCATATGCTCAATAATTTCTACATCGCTGATGACCTTAGATCATATAAATTAAGAATATCATACTTGTTAAGTGTATAAATTTGCAACACATGAACACTGGTCGGAGCGTTTCTAGTCATGAAGACCATCGCATACAAAATTTGTTCGCTACCGATCAACCTATCTCTTTTTTGTTACTCTGACAACGGTTATAAACTGATATACTGTACCTTTTAATCACAGTGTATAAGAAATTAAGCTCAGTATTTTCATTTTCAAAGCATTGTGAAGGTCGTTATAACTTGTGAAAAGATGTTTGTTTCCTAAGGATACACATTTTTCTCCGTACATTATTCTTGAAGAACTAAAACATGAATAAGTGCGTTAGTAGTTTAGTCGTTTAGCATCAGAGCGGAAAAGCAGTTTTTAATTCAATCCGCACCAAACTCCACTTTATTATACATTTACCTGTTCAGAAGTATAATTATGTATTATAGTAATGATGAATAAATACATTATCAAACTAACATTACTGTCCACTAGTATATATTTTAGGGTCGATAAGTGATATTAAATGTCGTTATTCCAGTCGTTCTTATAAACAGTTCAGTGCAATAAAATCGTTGAATTACATACAGAAAGGTGGTTAGAAATTCAATGTCACGTGGATAACTGCTTCATAGTCTCATCATTGACTTTAATATGGATATTTCATAGTAACGAGTAATTAAATCAGTATATTATTACCAAGTGACATTCTCGATTTAACAGTTTGGAAATGAATATATGTCTTATCAATTAATGTCAGTCATCAAGATTGTCTATTACGAATAATCACTTCATGATTTCTTTGCCGAAAATTTCACTTAAATCCAATTCCCATCTAGTTAACAGAATATGTTTCTTCAAAACGGGATGCAATATAATGAAAACGGGTAAAACTATATCTGAATTGATATATCCGGGGGAGTGAAAAAATTTCATGACCTAAATATTCCATACGTTTTAGTTATTAACTACAAATTAAGTAATTCTATTGTATAATTTCAGTACTAAGTAAATAAATACATTGTTGAATATATAACTAACATGAATTGAAGTTATGATTCGTTCCAAATGTATGGACGTTTAGTGTATTCTTTTGTTGTTCTCTTAAAAAGTCCATAATAGCTATTGTGTGTAGAGTACTAATGAAGGGAAAAAAGTTAGGTCAATAAAGCTGGGGTGATGATAGTAATAATGAAACAGCATCGGTAAAACAACATACTGAATTAACAAATAACACAGACAAATGGTTCTAAATTCGAATAACTGTTCTAGAGCTTTATTCTCATCATTTGTAAATTTCTAGAACGACCTACAAGTCTGAAATACGAATTCTAAAATGTTCTTAATCTCTATTTTATCTAAATCAAATAAGTAAAGCAATAAATGTTATGCATTTGTTACAAATGTTCATGAGAATAAAATAAAATTGGATTATTCAAATGTTTTTAGTTCCGATTGATCCTAAGCAGATAATGTGGATTGCATAATCTGATTTGGGAAAAGTGAAATTAGCTTATTATTATCTTATAAAGCTTCGTCAGTGCATAATCCAAATACAAGTTGAAGAATGTAGTTAAGATTGAAATTAGTCCATCTACAAAATTGTGAAATTTCAAAGAAGATGATCCAAGTTGACCGAACTAACATAAACAATCTGTCCAGTCTCTTAGAAACAAATAAGTCAACACATTAGTCAATCATTGATATGTTTCATTTTAAACAATGATATGTTTCATATGTTTGAGACAAAGCAATCAAAAACTATGTTTTTATTTACTTGATTAAAGTGTGAAAAACTTAACATTTTCCTCAACTACTAGGTAGGAATGTAAGGTAGTAATATTGATCAATAAACAGCTACTGGCAAATAAAATTGACTAAATATTTCATATGGGTGTCTTTCTGGCATAGATTGAAATCGAATGATTAGAATCTGTGTTGAACACTGTAAATCATAACAGTCTCTTTCTTTGTGGCAAGTGTATCGATGAAATGTTTTCATGCAGAACGTAAATAGTTTTATTATCCAAATTTAATTACTAAACTTACGTACCGCTATTAGATTCCATTTCGATCTCACCTAATTATTTTCACAGTTTTAAATCATGAATTGATCTTAGTTAGACTCCCTGTGAAAACCGGGAAACATTGAATGGCCGTTTCCTGCTAGTATGCGACTCCTCAGTAGTGCATGTCCACGAACTCGCATCCAGGAATCGAAGTCAAGCTCCTCAGTCTCACACATGTACGTTAAGTTTCTAGATTATTGAGTTAGTATCCAACGGTGTAAAGGTTTAATTTCAACTGACGATATTGTGCGATCCTCATCTATTGCCTGTGGTGGATAACCATTGTGGATACACACAGATTGGACATCTCATACGAGGTCAAAGGAACCGTCAAGTGCTTCTAGGTTTTCAGTGGTAGTGTTACTGAGGTAAACTCATGATTTAAAAGTACAATTTCTACAGTCTCCACAAGTCCTTTACACTAATATAATTCGTTGTTGAGAGATGCAGGTGTTTATTTTTACAAACTTATCGACTGAGAAATTCTGTTTGTTGCCGACCATAAAGAAAATAAATTATGCTTTACCTTCCACCATCTTTTTCCGTCAATAGTTCACGGTATTCTGCGCAACGTTGACGGAGTTCATTTCGCCGTTCTATAATGATTGGTAGTTTGTGGTAGTTTACATATCCAGTTTCTTGTAATACTTTTTCAAGTGCATAACTCCAATCGATCTACACAAGTAGAATAAGTTACAATGAGCTTATAATATGGTTTCTCGAGATGAAATGGAATAATATTTTCAGTGACTTTCACGTCACATATAATAGGCTTTTTCATAGAGATGACCACCTGTGTATTACTAGGTAAAACAGTTCAGTAATCTAATAGTGATTATTGAAATCCCAAGTAAATATAGATTTCTAGAAAACTTAGCTTACAAGTATTCTATAAAATGAAGATTTCAAATGTTGACTTTCATCTGTTCACTATAAATAATGTCTCACTATTCTGTGCCAAGTAACCTACATTTTGTAGCATACGTTGATAGTTATCAACTACACTTTTTGTTAGGGACACTCAGTTAAACTGCTTCATATTTTTTTTAAAAATATAGTTGGGGCAAGTCATATGATAATATTTACCTGTGGACAAATGGATTGTAGTTCGTTTTTCGTCACAAATTCTTTCAAGTGTTGTTTCTTTGAGTTCGACCTCTTTTGGAGATTGAGCATAAAACATAACAAGAATCAAAATGACAGTTGTATCTTAATTTCAATTGGATATCACAAAAGTGACTCTTGGATGAAAATCATTTAACATTCATGGTCTGACAATTGCACACTCCAGTTATACGATATAAGGATTTTAAGAGACATAGTTCACCAATTGTAACGATGAAATCTTACTGCCAATAATGATCTTGTAGTCGAGTTTACAGGAACGAAAGGAGAGTTTTCAGTTGGAATGCGTGCAATAGACATTTCTAATTAGGTGAGAACTACGAGGAAATTATCCTACCATGATATTTCTCTGAAATCTGTTTCGGTATTCTGCGTGGCTTTTCTGTTATTCATTTTTATCAATCTGAAGACCTACAGAAATAGGCAATCTGCTCAAACCTCGGAGTCACATTTCCCAGCTGCTGTTAATGCAGTCGATTACCAATCTGTTTCCGTGAATCAATGATACATAATAGCTATATGACATACGCTTATGCATTTATTAACAGTTAACAACTTATTAAGGTGCTGAAATCATTAGAATTCAGGTAAGTGGTTATTCGTATATTTCGTCCGTTTCTACATAAATGAGGGGAATGTACATCAAAATTTGTACGTGGAACAGATTATTATGTGTAGAGACAATATCATCTTATTTTTGACTTGGAAACATACAAATTCTTAAATAAACTCACTCTGCCTAATCGAATCATTTTTCGGAAAGCATCTGTTAGTTTTGGATTTTGAGACTGAGGTACCCCAGTTTCAAATGCAAGCTTGTAGTAATCCTCTTCGGATTTGTCCATATCAGTCTGTCAAATAAAATTTGGAACATCTTTTACTCAAACTGAAATATACATGTAAAACTGAGTGGGTGAGACATTGAAATGCACATTGATATAAGACAGAATTTATCTGTGAAATATTTATGATCGTTATTTAAGATGTACAGATATCTCCGAAATATACAAATAGTCTTGAGTTTTTCTATTGTGATTCAACATATGTCGACTGTTCTGGTCGAGAATGATGATTCATTAGTTATTCTACAATGTATTAGATTAAGTCAGATTATTATGAGTATCGAACTTCCATATTGATGACACATATGTTCCCACCCTGGCATCTCACACTTAGCATTCGTAATACATAGGAAAGCAATGTACTACGAAAGATAGGATTTATATTTATGCGAACAAAATATTTATATTATCGGAGAGTGCGTTCACCTTGTCAATGAACTGGTAAGAGTGTACTTCATTTATGAACCTTTAAAAAATCCTACTGAAATTTTATCATCCATTTTTTCAATTTTAACTTTATATAGAAATATTAGTAAATCTATTCAAATACCTTTTGGAATTACAAATGCGATATGACAATATGATGTCTTCTTTCGTCATTACTTACAAATATATCAATGCAGTTTGTGATTCACATTCTCATCATACTCTGTCAGCTGACGTATTCCTTAATTTTGCATAAAACTTGAGTTTTTATTAGACATATCTTTTGATAAACATACAATGATTACTTATTAGCAATTCGACGTATGCTGTACATCTGAACATGTGTACTTATTACATAATCTTAAAATTTAATCGATGAAATCTTTTCTCACAAAATACTGTTATGAAGATAATTATTTGAAGTATCATCTAAGTGTAATTTCAGGCATTAAATACTGTGTCAAAGTGTCAATCAACTTATCTACCGTAATTACATAAATGTATTAGAAATACAGGATTGGAGACGATATTGAAAGTGGATTTGTGATATAATGTAAACGCATATAAATGAAGTGTTCAAATATGGCCTGGTGAGTAGCATTCTGTTAATCTTTAACCGAATTCTCAAAAATTCGGCTGCTACCATAATTTGACAACCTTCTTTAGATGCCACGAATAAACATTATATTGAAGAGCTGATATTGTAATATCATGAAAACGTCTAAATTAAACTTAGTGACTTAGTGACTTAGGGCGTCAGTTAATCCAAATGCATTAATTTTGATACCAAAGAATAATTTAGGTAAATACGTGGTGCTAATCATTCGCCTGAATGAAACGTTTGCACGTCAATATTTAAGACTTTTCTGACATTTTATTCAAATCAATATGAGATAGAAGTCAGAAGCTTTCATTGAATTACCTATTAAATAAATAAGTTCTAGACAAATTTAAAAGTTACCTTCTGTAAATCGGTTTGAAAAGCGAACTGACCAGGTGAAATCTGATGAGAGATTAGAATTACAAAATACATTGCAGTGGTTTGTTAAACAATTAAACAAAGTACATACTGCATAAAACATGTAATAGCAATCTGAATTTTATTCAACCTGTTCTCACCAACAACATGTATGTGAAATATATTTGCTTAATTTGATACAATTTCTTGTTTATGAGATATATTGAGAGTATGTTATTTCTATAAATATTACCATTACATGGAATGACACATTGATTTACAATGATTTATTACGTGTATTCACTACTTGAAATTGTAATTTAGAAATGTAATTGCTAAGCGGATTTCAATAAAACCATTTATGTGTTTTATGTGAAAAGAAATGGTGGTAATTAAATTCCTTAAATGAAAAAAAGACAACACAAAGATTCGCCCAACCGGGTCCACCTACATATATATATAACTTAAATGCTATTGCTCCATGTACACATTATATAAATATTTATCATACTAGAATCTAGTTTCAATTAAATAGCGTATATTACATAAGGATTTTTTTCAAAACACACTTCATTATGATTTCTTACTCTGGTTTGGGTTATAGGTCATAACTAGAAGTGGCCAATCATTTTTAGTTTACTATAAATTGAGCACAGTAAGTTTACTTGATATGAGTATTTCAACGTCAAGTTCTAGGGTGTATGGACAATGATTTAAATAGATTCAAAAACAATCAATATAATCAAAGAAGTTTGATATAAGATTTATAATTGAAGTTCTTACTAGGACGGCAAAAATATCCTCTGCGATGTTCATTGAAAATAAAGGTGAACGTCCAGTTTGAGTTAATATTGGTAGAAATAGATCGGTAAGACTGTTATTCATTTGACTTTGATTTCGCCCATTTGTATTATTTATCTCCGTCGAAAGTGATGGTATTAGTTGCCATCCGCCAAAATATATATCTATCAAGTGATGACGACTTTCACGCGTTGTGTCTGAATTTCGACTATTTACGCAAGATTTGTAAAATGCTCGAGCTGATTGTAAGCGCCAATCTTCTCTATAGTATGAATCGTTAGCTTGAAAGCATTGTAAATTATTGACATCAAATTATGGAGAATAAATATTGACCGTAATCTTCACGAATTCGTTCAATAAATTATTGTAAATTTGAAACTCAAAAGAGGCTACGGAATTCTGATGTTAGGTAAATGGAGGAAGATTACAGAAGGCCTTTGCAGTTACTCACCAACATTGCGTGAATCCAACTTTGAAGGACTGATGTACTTCAAGGAATTCGATGTAGAGTCATTTGTACTGGTAACCACATTTCATCTTAGCAGAATCACAAGTCAGCTTTCGTGACAAAAGCTGGATAGAATTATGTAAAACAGTGTGGCCCGATATTATTCATATCTTAGTCTTACTAAAGGCCATAATTCATCCGAATAGCTTCAGTGTGATGTCGCTTACTATCTAACATGGTCCAAAGTTTTCGTATCTCATGTAAATCATCATTTTCAAGTAGATTCTAAATATACTTCGCTGATAAGTGTCAAATGGTATGCAGCCTGGCTTATGAACTTTCAGCTAAATATACGATTGGACCTTACTCCAAAAGCATACATATCACTTGCTTTTAACTAGAAGTTACATTGTAACTTCTTGAAAATAATTTCGTGTATCGCATTCAGTAAAGGGAAATAAATAGGTGGACCTCTTTCAAAACAATAGTTATTTATTCAAGAAGTGATATTACCTATATTTTAAGTGACTGAAACTTTGTTTGAGTTAGTTTACAGATCCTTCGGTTTGGTTGAAGCATGGCTGTCTGTCTACTTGCATGGATTCTGCAACAAAATTTAAGCTTTAACTCTAAACAATTCGATACTCTTTATATGAAGTTTTAATTGTAGGGAAATATTTATAATATCGAAATCAGCACAAATTATATTATGATAACATTATTTTACTATGACTTACCAATTATCTTCCAGAAGTAGTTATCAACGTTCATTCCCATCTGTTGCATAACGCTTGAACTAGCACTATCACCCGACAAAGGGTTCTGTTTTTCCCACTCTCCACATGCAGTTTCGTAAAAATCAATACAATGATTCGAGAAACTTGAGTTATCGGTATTATTCTGCATAGTCTCTTCCAATGTGTTTGTTGCTGCATAAAAATGTGTAAGCAATAAAACTAACTACTGAAACGAGGATTTGAGGAATACATAAGACAGACGATTTCAGAACGATTAAGTGTAAGGTAGTTGCTTTAAACATTTGACCATTACTGTTGTGGGGAATAAGACCCTAGTTTTTTAATTAAATTGGACGTTACTATAAATAAGTGAGACTGATTCACTAAGGAGATAACTCTCACATTGATCTATTTTCTACAGCTTATGGCATCGCTCGTATTTACTTAATCGATTTACTTCCCATTCTCGGATATCTCCGTTAGAACGATGGATTACTGCTACAAATTAATCGACCTACAGCAATGTGGAAGTATGGACACGGTGTTGTTCATTATGACATTGAACGTATTCAAAGAAAGACAGTTTATGAGGTGATTTAGTACTCCGCGATACTTCATTCTAAATGCTTGATGAACAGACGTTTGGGTATTTTGATGTGATATGATTCAAAAACAGTTACAGTGTCAAGGCTACATTCGCTCTTTATCCTTCTCTTGATTCTGAACTAAAGCATCCATTCATGCCTACTTTTTTGATTATCATAACTAATAGATTATTTCGATCTTTTTACTATTCATTTTGTCAAATAAACAAAAATTGACTAACCAGTGTCAGGTGTTTCCGTAATCCGTGTGGTTTCATCTGTTCCAATGAATTCTGAAATGACACAAAGTAAGACACTGAGAAGCTCTATCATCATAAATCTAAGTATATGTTGACCATGGAAAATTCCTGATAGCATCAAAATTACATACTATTAAGACAATCAATAAACATTGAATTACACAAGACGGTTAATGATACTGTGATTTCTCAAACTGATCGAATATCAGACCGGAAAAGAGATAATGATGATTTTCGTTAGAACTATTTTGGGATTCCGTGATCAGACTGAACAGTATAACACTCTATGAACATACTTTGATAATTAATTATTTATTTCCTGCATATTTTATGATGATAATTGTAAGTGCTTCATAACTGGAGACAATCGAATGTATTTGAACACAAAATTACGGAACATGTTACTAAGAATCTGAAATACTCTATTTGCTAAATGTTAATCAATTGTCCCAAACTCGACTGTTTCTTCATTTTCGCAGCAATCATTCACTGTTCTCGTTCTCTTTTCTTCGACCTCCTCAACCTTCTGCTGCCAGAAATTCCACTTTCGATTGCTGATACGTACTACTTATATCTATCGACAACAATAGCACACGCCACAGTATGATTTATTGACAGTTTATTTTTTCTATCTTGTGTCTCTATTTGTGTTTATTATTATAACTAATGATTTGTTTCAAACTTGTTTTTGTCGGAATACATTATGAATTATGTGATTATGATTGTTCCCAATTCATTGTTACTGATTATGTATTAGTTTTGTCTAATTGTCAAATGATAATATTCCACCAACAAGATTATTTTATCTAAAATAATGTTTGTCAAGTGTATTCAAATATCCATTAAAACTATTGACAATAAAACATATTGCTTAGTAAACAACTCCTCCTGGAACCCCGCTGCGATTACTGCCGGTCCCATGCCCAGATAAATGAGGAGGGTCGGGCATGGAGTTACTGACCCCATCCCGTAGAAAACTAACTAGCTAAAAATACGCTAACCAGAAAAAAATCCAAATCATTTAAACTCTACACTGAGAATTAGAAGATCATTTAGAAGAGTTATGACGCCTCATGATGAAAACCGAGATCATTCGGAAATTACGAGTCTGATGCCCGTTCTGACAGCCAGAGCAACCATTAACTGAGGTACATGGAATACTCGTAGAATGTGGAAAACTAGGAGAGTAATACAAATTGCTAACTGTGAATAAGGTTTAAAATTTTTCATTTTGTTTTTCACATATTTTGAAATAATTTCAGGAATCTAATTGTTGATGGGAATATATGAAACGTCGTGGATAAATTGACTAATAAACATTAGATAATGCATTTGTGGAAAACATGAGTAAGAAAACTATTTGCGAAGAAATAAATGATTAATATTAGATAAGTTCAAAACTGTTCAGGATCTAAGTCATGCATTTTTCAAAGAAACCTATTGAAATGGTTAAATATGAGGTTAGAGCATAGTTGTTCACACATGAAATATGATGTGTTTGGATTTCTGGTAATGTCAGCTTTTGAAACACAGTTTTTACAAATTCGATCAAATTTGTTCCAGCTATTGTTAAACTTGCAGTGAATCAAATGAGATTTGAATAGGGTACTCTATATGTTTTGATTTCATGTGGAATGTACAATGTTAATGTAAAGATAGTTGACTACGATTACCAACCTGAATTCCATCATGACATAATTAAACTCACAAAGATGTATTACGAATAAATATTAACATTTCTATGTGATTCATAAACATTAGACTGATTTAATTGAAAAAATCCTGTGAATCTTATTACTTTCCACGCACCCACTGGTACTTCAAAATTATCTAATGATGATTGCTTATTCATGAATAGTTTATATTCCCATGAAAAGGTAAATAATCCTGTCTTCAGGAATCATTAAAATGCATCAGTTTAAAACTTGCAAAATTAGCTCATGTTTATTGTGAATAAATAAAAAATTGTTTTATTACATCTGATACAGTGATACACTTTTCTACCTAATGCATTATGAGTCTTTTTTAATCAAAGTTTGAACCACGATAGTGAATAACGTCTGATCAACTGTATGCTTATGTGGCACGAAATCTGACTCCCATAATACCGTATGAATGATTTTTATTGAAGTACGCATATCTTCAATCCCCGTATATTATCATCGATTTAACTCACGTTAGTAAATAATGGAATTAACGAAGTCAAATACGAGAATGGATTTTGAATATGTATATTTCATGAATTCATTGATTTGAACAGGCCATAAGGGAATGAATCGAAGAGAAGAGAGCGAAGCGAAATGACGCGCAGTGGAGAAGGCATGTGAGCCAACCCCATTTAAACAAGCGTTAATCAATATTTTTAGTCACACAAAATCAAGCTACAGACATGTGATGAATGGGATAAGAAGGGCATACACATATGCACTCATATAAAAACAGTCAAGATTGATAAGACAAAATAGTTAACATGGTCAAAACGTGACTCCGATTAACTGTATGATATGAAATCGTTTAGACCCTTAATTGAACCAGATATCCAAATTAAAGTTTCATCATTATGGATACGTTTTCACTAAGTTTTAATTTGAGAAAGGCATGTTATAATTTCCCAATGAAAATTCACTTTATCACTGCTTACGCATCACATTCTAATATTCTTGTTCAACAAGTTGACATACTTTATTCAAGAAATCTTCAAATCAATCATATAAGCCTCTACTTTACGTTTGCAATAATTCTGGAAATTGGTAATGATGTGTGAGCGAGAATGATAATGATTGGTTGTCTGCTTATTCAGACATGCAGATATAGTCATATAGGTGTCAGATGAGTTATATATTCCCCTATTCTTATTATTAATTATTATTATTGATTGGCTGTTCATTGTTGTTGGATTGTGTCGGGTTTTTGGTGTGAAAATATAGTTGCGTTCTGGTCAGGCCAATCACGTGTTCTTGATCTGAGTTGTGTTGATTTCCTGCAGGATAGACACTGGGAGGAAATTTAGTGTAGATGTTCGTCCTAGGTAAATTAACGTCCCATACATGTAAACGTCAAAAACCCAACCGTTATAACATTAAACGAAGTAAAACTGAACGTTAAAACAGGTAGTTATTTGGCTATTTTACCTAACTACAGTATGATGCATTATGGTGTATGCAGTATTGTTTTCGTACATGCAGAAAATGTAAGTGATTGCGTGAAAACATGCAAAATGTGAAGAGCGATATATCAAACTATTAACAAAATTTGACCATACACAGTCATTGTGAACAAAATTAAATTTGATAAGTTTTAATCAAGATGCAGTGTCATATATAATGAATCTTACCGTAACAGCAACTCAGAACGAAAAGGATTGCCACTATATCAAATGAAATTATGTTTGTCAACTTCAAGAAATCCTACCATATTTCGAAATTCTTCCTGCTAGAAAGCCTTCAAACGAAGATGACATCACTTTGAGGATAATACAAAGTATATGTTTTCAGTACGTTTGTTCTTTTCGTATGATCGGCTTCGTGTTTTCAGATATATATATACATATATATGAGGTCAAAGATTGTTGGTTTGTGCAACTTTTTATCGGAAGACTGCAAATATTTGCTTTCATTTTTTACAAACTATTTTCTCTGTCACTTTGAAATAAGTTTGATCTATTGAACAAGAAAAATGAGATATGAATTTATAATTAACTGTTGGAGATTCAACTCTTTAGAAACTTATTAGTCCAGACAAAAATGACATTGTCTGTATTTTACAACAAAAAAATGTTGGTCGTGTGTGGTCATTGAAAATGTGGTTGAATTTCTTAACTTATTCTTTGGGTAATTAAATAATTTGTAAAAACTCAGAAAGTGTTTATTACTTCGTATCGTAACTTGGAACTAAGATCTTGTATTAGTTGAAGGAAATGAGAAGTTCCTAGTTTTTAACGTGTAAATATAACATGAAAGATACTTACATCAAGTCAGTATGACATTTATGAAGGTACCTTGAATAAGGTTACAATTACTATAGTTAACAAATGTGTACTGAAATCTAAATTTCTTCTGCGTCTTTTGGTAAGAGTAAGATATATTTGTAGAGAAGTGCTATCTGTCTTGTCCATTTTCGAACTTATATAATCATTTTATTATGATTATCACATTTTGATCTAAACACATACATACATTGGTGAGATCATTACTCCATTCTGTGGGTTAAACATGATGATGTTCTGTGTTACTGAGTGTGTTCATATATGTTCAACTAAGCATAAATCACGAGATCACGTACAAATAATATGCAAATAATAGCAACTAGTTGTACAAAGAAACCTGATTTGACATTGATCCGAATTCCAGGACCCATGTTGTAAATTGTTTTTTTCTCAATATTTTGACTGACGAACTAAATTAAGAGTGATGATCCTCCAAAATTACTGCCGGTCCCAATCCTCAGTTGGCTGTTAGGTTAGGAACACCACTCAGTAATAAGGAACTCAACGATAAAAGTGCTAGTCAGAAACATTCATTTAAGTGATTTAATCTCTAACCTGGAAGTCGAAGACCATTCATATAGGAGTGTTATGACGACTCATGGTGAAAGCTGATATTATTTAGAAGTGTTAAAAAGAATGCTCTTTCAGACAATCACAGTAAAATCTGATTGAAGTTTATGAAACATCCTGACAGTATGAGAGATAGGTAGGGTCATTGAAATCGCTGACGAAGTGAGCAGATACAACCTGACTGTGCTCAGAACTAGTGCAACCCACTGTAGACAAGCTGAACAGAAAATTATGGCTTCATAAATGCTGTTGCTTCATTCAGGTCACGAATAGGGCAACGACCCACACACAATGTTTACGCTGATACCGTCCAAAGAATCACATTAGGCACTTATAGAATGGTAGAAAGACAGGTTAAGAACCATCAGTTCAACCCTCAGAGGAAGAAGTAATGGACTACAATGAATATCATCTGTAGTGGCTTAGGTTCGTTACTCGATCACCTCGATATCCGTTATAATATAAATCTCAACGGTGTTTAAAATCAGAAGGCGATGAGAAGCTGAAACTATAGTTTATTAGTGGATAATAGCTCAGCTCACAAAGCTATAAACACATCAAGCGAATTTGAAGCTGAGAGGCGAATAAATATGTACGAGCAATTAAATAGCCAAATTTATATTCAGCAAGGCAAAACGAACGCTAATAATAGGATCTGAGCACATGCATACATGGGGAGGAGGATGAATCACTGAGTGATATTTAGGCAATCAACATTTTAGCTAGAGTCTGTCATGCGAT